CTAATAATATTTTTTTCATATTTATAATTTGACTATGCCACAAGCATTCATAATTTTGTTGATTTAAAGTTGAAATTTCAACTTTTATAAAAACACAAATTATTGATCTTCTTTGAGTATTATTGTAATACTCATATCACATATGAACTTTTGTTATTTACAATTTTTAAAAATAAATGCTGATAATTGTTTATTCAACATTCTACTTGAGTGAGATGATCTTCATCAAGTATATTTCATGGCGGCCAAATATCACAATCTCTTCAAATGAGAATTGGAACAAATCAAACTAAGCTATTATTCCTATGTTTCTTGTGGTATTTTTCATCAAGTATCAGCTCTCACACATCTAGCAACAATATTTTAACTATTTAAACAAAAATATTATAATATGTTGTTCACTTCGGGCTGAATGACAATTTAGTTGACTTAAAATGTTTATTATAAGATTTAGAAATCAAAAATTACTAGATAATACTTGAAGGAGGTTTTGTAACAAAATTTAATCATTTGCATAAAGTTTGATCTTAATTGTGCCAAGGCGAGCATTTAGTAGTCACAAGTAACCCTGACTAATCTTTTAGATTGGCAAATACTCAATCATATAATCTTTAAAAATAATAAAGGTGATATTGATTTTAGTGTACATACACCCACTCCGTCGTATTTCTTGGGTGTATAGCGTGACATTTCTTGGGTGTATATCACTAATATCACGGAGTGGGTGTGTGTTGAGTTTATATACACTAAAATCACTACACTCAAAAATAAATAAACAAATTCAAACCAAAAAGTCATGCAAAGTCAATACATCTAACGTCACACAGTGATCTTTTCATGTAATAATCTTTGACTTGTTAGAAGTAAAGTAAAGATTATTCTAGATGAAAAATATCTATATCTAAAATAGCCACATTTCTCATCCATATGCTTGGTATACAATGAGTGAGTGTGTTAGTTATATCGTATATATGAAAAATTTGTGTTTTTGTTAAGTAAACTGATAAAATCTTGGTTGATAGCGATACATAAGACATCACTGAGTGTGTTAGAATTATCTATCGTAATATCAATTCTCTATGAGTGAAATGGATGATGGGATAATATTTATTTTTTGTACTTGATGTTGCGAATTATATAAGAAGAGTAGATAATTTGAGATATCTTTGATCTTTAAAATGATGTTTGATTTTTGAATGAACTCATCTTAATCTTTGATGATACAATGGTATGAGAGCTACTTTGCTCTTTCATTAATACAGATCATTCCTCATGGATTATCAAACATATGATGATAAAATTTTGTTCTTGCTATTTATTGGATTGTTTTCTAATGGATAAAAAGAGTTTGACGATAACATTTAGTTTTTTTAATTTTAAATGATTGACAGATATCATTGATCGTCATATATTAGAAAATAGAAAAATGAAACTTATGTTTTTGAAAATATCTAGGAAAAATTCAATACCTCAATAAACAATCATCAAAATATTTGATATTTATCTTTGTTTTATGGAGAAAAATCATTTTTTATGTATATTCTAACATACTAGGATGCAAATTTTATGTTTAACATAATGGAGTGAATATCGATATTGACAATTACAATTCTTAGTTATGAGGAGATTTGAAATTTACCTACCTATAATACATACTGAATTTTAGATAAATTTGAATATTGAATCATATATCTTGCTTGATTTGATACATATGTACATAGTGTTACATACAATCGGAGCCAGAGAGCAAAGATTACAAACAAAATGTTAGGTCTTTATTAGTAATGATATAATTAACATTTTCATTGTAATTTTGAATTATCATTTCCTCACAAGTATTTTCTTACAAATTTTTATCTTGGCTGATTCGCTCTTCTTGCCACATATTTTCAAAGTGTTGTACAATTAATATATTATATCTTCTTGCTTCATTATACAAAGTACATGAAAATAATTTTTTTATATCATTGTTGTTATATTAACACGTAAATTGAATGTATGTTTTAGCATATTCATCAATTTTTAGTTTGCAATCGACAGAGTTTAGGCCAAAATTATCTAAAGTATTTTCAAAGTGTTAAAATAGTTGTTCAATAAATCATCACTTTGATAAAAATGTGGTAAATCACATTGCAATTGATTCACCGTCTTGTTAGAATATGAATTTCAAAATACAATGCTCTTTTTAGTAAAGCTGTAATGTATGAGATTGAAAAGTTTATCATTATATATTTTTTACACGTTTATAATTGTCTATCTCAACTCTTTTCAATACTTTGACTTTTGATCAATTTTAATTGATTAATTTCATAATTACTTTTTATAACTTAGCTTTCAATAAATGAATAGTTTTAGGATTTTATAATTTTTCTCAATTTGATTTTTTTTTTTTCAAATGTGTAAAACTTTCAATATTTTTCATCTCATGTGGTTTTTATTTGTTTTTTAGCTACTTCTAAATTCATATACAGGTAAATAATATAGATTTTAAAAATTCAAAAGTAGAGCAATTGATAATATTGGAACCACGAGATTATCCAAGGTTGATCCAATTACCGCTAACATTCATGAGTCGACCAATACTTGATAACAAAATTTCTATTGATAATATAGTAGGTTCATTCTATGATATTAAGAATACATGATAGATTGTGTTCATTTGAAGCTCCATCACGTGATGTTAGTAACAATATATAAAATAATTAATTTTGCTGAAATATTTTAAGAATTTTTTTCAAGACAAAATTCAAATGACATCATATATTTTTTGCTTTTTATGTTGTCATTATTTAAACAACATTTGATTTATTAAATAATTAATATTATTAACATTTTATCAAATTTAATTTTACCCATAATATAAATCAAGTGAAAACTCTTTAAGAAAGATACAATTCTTAATATTAATATAACGTAAAAATATTACATCAAGAGTAGTAAAAATAAAATTCAAGTATTAATTACATTCGAATCAATAATTTGAATTCAATGCAGATTTTAATACTTAAAATAATTTCTATACTTAATTTTTTTTATACATTATGTTTTTATGAAGATAGTTTTAAATCTTAACAATTTTAGAACTTTTTAGCACATACACTGTGAATTTATAAGATTTGATGAATTGAAAATATTATTTAAAAGAATGTTGATGCATAATTTTATGATTTTCAGATCTCTAGATAGTATAAGCAATCTATTATTAGCAAGTTTTGATCAAAATAGTAAATAACAACTCAACTTTTGTTGTAGTATTACACCTTTTTCTTAGAATTTTCATTTTTTTTTTCTTTTGCAATTTAATATGGAGAAATTATTATTATCCAATATAAACATCTCATTTATGCATTCTATGGATTTTCTTACTCATGTATTTTATTCTTGATAATTTTAATGAAATGAAGTAGTTAAATTGTGTAGGTATTAAAGGATTCAAGAAACATGAAATTGTAAAAAAAAAATTAATAAGAACTTCAGTTTATAATTTATAATTTGTATTCAATATCTTAATATATAAACTGTTAGATACTCTTGTCATAAGGTTTAAAATAGACAATTGAGTTGATAATTTTGTTAAGTGATTTAGATTTAATTGGACTGCTTGGCAATATGTGTCATACATATAGTGATAAAAATTTATTACCTCTTTGCTAATTGTTCAAAGTCAATTTTTTGTGAAGAAGTATGTTTGAATTTTACCGATTGCAATGTTTATGATCATACTTCAAAAAACTTATTTTGAAAAGCATTGAAATAAGAGGTTCTTTAACATTTTTCATCACATTAGAAGTTAATTTTGTTTCAATTGTAAAATCCATCAATTTCATCACCATCAAAAACATCACAATATTTACATATTTGATGTTTTTGATAGTTTCCATTGTAAAATCCATGAAAAAAAACATCACAATAATTTCCTATATATATATAAAAATTAGATTAAAATTTAGCAGAGGAAAAAATTAGTATGACAGCATAAATAAATTGTACATTAAGTGATGTTTAGGTGAATACTCGTTCATTACATTCATGTGTCAACATAAAAGAGAATGATATATTGCTTGCGTGAGTCGGTGGCTCTGATATATGATACATGTTGTGCTAAATTAATTTTATTCATTAATTGCTCATAAAGCATAAACGTTATGATGATTACATGAACTTAAGCTAGTACTTTAATGACCAAAAGTTGTTGACTTAGATAATGGGTAGGAGGGTCAACGAATTATTTCAAACACTGGGAAGACCCCAGCAGACCTAAATGGAGAAAAAATATAAATTGCATAGTAGGAATCTGGGTACCAGCATCGTTATATGATAAACTTGTTTAATGCAGGTAATAGTTATAGAATATTCAATATGTAGAGTTAAGTTGTTTATAAATTTGATGAATAAAAATTAACACTTTCAAGAAATTATGTTGTAGTTCATATGAGTAAAATCTGCTGGAAACCATATCCTGAACTAAGCATAGGGATGTAAATTATTGCTCTTCTGCGTACCAGATATATTGTGAATAACAAAAAATGTGACTTTTTGTATAGTAAAAGTGCACAATAATATTGAAATTGTATGTATCGATTTGTGATGAAACTAAATTCAAAGACGTGCTGGATTGGTTAGAGCAGGAGTGGTTTTCTATAGTTCCATATAGATCAAGTTCATTCAAGTTTCTTGTAGGCCTAAAAAACCCAAATTTTATATGTCCCAGAGTGAATTAAGGGTAGTAATTCTAGTATTGCGAGGATGTCCCTCCCCACAGTGCTCTATGCAACGCAACTTGACGTAAAGCACCACCAAATCTGTTTATGTACTCACCTTGCCACAGGTCTACTTGTCGCAAGACACAATTAAACTTTATACTATACTGCATCTGCATTGATATAATCTGCTGCACACAATATCGTTCAAAATTGCAAAAATCATCATCCAAACCATATTCGAAACACAATACCCCCACACTACTCATCTGTTGCATGTTTACATACACACCCATATAAATTAAACCTTTGATAAATCATCATAAAAAATCTGTTGCAAATTCAAAACCACAGATTGAAACCGTCGAAACGATCGCAGAGCATTCTTAGATGTGATAAAGAGCAACCGCAACGGCCACTTTTCAAATAGATTTCTAAATGTATTTGAATGAGATTCAGTAATCTAACAGCCAATTGATGGACATTGAACAAGCTCGACGTCGAGAGCCATCCTCCATGAACTAATTGTCAAAGCCTACCCAACAACACCTCGGTCCCTATTTAGCCACATATTTTAACACGGTAGTCACAAAGCGACTACAGAACCCCAGAGGAATCCCTTAGCTCCCTGAATTGATTGGGGGCGTGTGTTATTTGTATGATAGGTCGGCAAGCAAAGGCTGGAGTATGCTGAGCAAATGTATCCAATGGGGTGGCTCATTGGGCAGGGACCTTCCAGCAGGATAGGTTTTCTGTACCTCGCTCCGTGCCGTGGAAATGTTGGCCAGGAAGTAAGCAAGGTTTTGGCTAGGTTTTCTTTCTCTGCCAGGCTTCGAAATGTTGCCCAGGAAGTAAGCGAGGTTTTGGCACATTGTCGCTTTCTTAGCCGTAACGGTAGTGCATACAACCAAATTGTGGGCAGAGGGTTCGTCTTCCGCGGTACACGGTGTGCATGCTGGAGACTGGGTCGCCATCTTGATCCTCTATTTGTCTGGACTGATGATCCAGTCCGAACCTTGCTTTACAAGCGGGTACAGGAGCAAGCACCTCCGTAAGGATACTGACTGAAATCCAGAGGTTCAGGGTGGAGACGGAGAGGAGAATTAACATCAGCGTTTTCCTTACCCATTGTTTTCTGAGAACTTGGTTATCGCTTCATACTTCGAGGCTCCAATTTCCTTCTCCTCTGGCGGAGTGTATCGAGCAGAGATAGAATTCGATTTGTGATTCGCCACCTCCCTGGTGTGTTGCTTTGAGATCACAGTCCCTGCCTTTGGCACCAAGGCTCCCAAGGCCTCTGTCTCTGCATATCTGTGTGTAGTGGAAAGGGAGAATTCAGATTTGTGATAGGCTTTGTCCTGCTGGGTTGTTCTGATCGAAGTCATTTCCTTTGGAACCAAATTTTCAAAAGCTCCTCGCTCTTGACGGGTGTTCGTCGCAAAGGAGAATTCAGATTTGTGTTTTTTCTCACCTCCTACTGCGTTGCACTGAGATCGCAGTCCTTGCCTCTATCACCAAGGCTTCTAATTGCCATATCTCCGCTCCCAAAACGTTAAAGTTCTATCGTTGAGATTGAGGGATCAGATTTGTGGTTCTCATCCTCCCTGCTGAGTTGCTCTGTTATTTCAGTTACTTCTGCCAACATCGTACTGCAGTCGCAGTCATTGCTGTTTCATCTTGCTCCCAGAGTTTGGGTAATCTCTATTTCTTAGGTGTTCTCTGTACATGCCTTTATGAAGGCTTAGCAGGTTTCCTATGGCTTCTACCAAGTGGGCCCAAATGAGTCCAGTACCCACAGAACCTATGACAGGGACCAAGGTGAGTCGTGTATTCTCCACATAGCTTCGTTTTGTTGAACTTCTAGGATTGTCACTCGTAATTCTTACTGTCAGAATCTGCATGTGCCCATTTGAATTTGTCATTTGTGAATAATCACATATTTTTTCCATCGAAGAGGCTTCTTCTTTTGTGTTAGATTTTTTTGTTTGAATGATGGCTTCTGTCGAACTTCAAGAAGGTGCTGAGACCATAATTTGAAATGCTTTCAGAGTAGTGCTTCCAGCATAGCTCGTTGGCTGGTAGTTGCATTCTATTCGCTGAATTGGTCTTCCCATTTTAGCTCTAACAATTTCGTAGAATTTGAAGGCTGCCACTGGGATTTATGACCATTTGCGTTGCCGAAGATTCTAGGACCTTGAGGTGACATGTTTTCAGTTCTAATGTCTCCAACCTAGCTTGCTGAAGGATATTAGCATTCCATACCTGTCTCTATCGTGGTTGTGTAGTGTGGAGAACAACTAAACGTTTACCTTCAGTGTTGATGATGTATTAGCAACTAAGGAAATTTGTGATACTTTCAACTTGAAATGAAAATTATGTCTACACTGTGTAGCATTAACATTCGTACTAGTAGTCGTGATCTATGAGTACTTATCAAATTTTCATCGGTCGAGTAAAGACTAATCGGAACTCCTTCAAAACACCCTCTTTCCTTCTAAACATCAAACACGATCTTTCAATAGGCATTGAGAAAAATCTCACTCTTGGTCTGGCTGGATTGAAATATACAGTACTAGCCTTACTAGAGGCTGCATTTTTCGATTCATGGAATAGTTTTGCTACTTTTATGTGGTTCTGCTTTGGTGTACGAGTGTGGTTTGTAAGATAGAAATAGTTCTACGCACAAAATTTCATTTCCTTTCCGGAAAAACTAAACTCGTCTTGGCTGATTGTAGTGCATGAACATTTGTCTATATCCTGTGTCTGAACGACATGTCGATTTGGATGATATTTTTAGGAAATATTGTTGGAGTTTCGGGCGGGGAAGATGCACTTGGAAAATTCACGAGTCCACTCCGATCCTCGAAAAGGCTTGGTCCGCATTGTTCGAGTGAGTTTCCGAATCTGAAGCAGCAGGCTTTGACCATGTGGCTACCCTTCACATGGTGGTCTTATTCCATTTCAGAGGATTGATTAACTTCTCGGAGAAGTTAATAATGCTTTCGGAATCAAGTTTTTAACCGTCAGTTCTTTTCAATTTATTCAGATCGGTCTGATGTGAAAAATTTAATGTACTATTAGCATGATTTATACAAATTTTTAGAGCTCGATCCATTTATGCATGTCTCTCTTTTTGCTCCTCGTACAGTATGATTTAATGAAAGAGACTTATGACCTTCCATGAAATGAGTCAGAAGAGAAACATATAGTATTTTGCTTTTCGATAATAAAACTGCAAGCTTCCACCTTACTTCAATGTTTGGACAGGCAGATGACAGCCTTGTGCACTTTCAGTGGTTGGATCGAGTACTCAACGTCGTCGAAGATGTATCCTTTTGGAATGCCTTTGATGTGTCTCTCCTAGAGGGAGGAAAAACTATGAAAGAAATATTATAGTTGTTTTGGACCGAAGTTTTCTATTTATCACGACTGATATCCGTATATTTCTATCATTCCAAATGCTTTTGTTATCCTTGATTTCTTTGTTTATAGGACCAGATTGTATTTCCCGAGGAAGCGATTTTTGAGAAGGTGTGTGATGACTCATTTCTGCTGCTGCCAACTTCCTTCCAGCTCCTAAGTTCAGTATCAGCAACTCGGTTAACAGCAGTCACTTGATTTCATTTTTATCTAAATTGTCTTTGCCTTTGCTGTGCAGGTTTCGCAAACGTTAGGACGTGTCTATATATTAAAATTCAAAGAAGATAATCGAAAAAGCTTCTTCTGGATGCAGGTATGCTGAGTGTTAAATAATACAAAAAATCAGAAGAATAGTCGTCTTTCCAACAGCTTTCCAAGAGCTTGAAAGTTTAAAATCTGTAAACTACTCCAGTCTTCAACTTATCTCCTCTCGTAATCTCTGTTATGTGTCACATTACATCATCAGGGTTCATAGAAATAATTTTGTTCCTCTCTTACCATGCTTATTCTGTAGCTGTATGATGATAGGGATCCTTAAAAAACAGGAGTCTTATTTTCTTTCAATTGCTTGTTGTTTCCTTTGATCATACTCCTCGTGCGCTTGGTGTTCACTTTCCTGTGGATGCCATTTCGGCTCTTTCTATCTTCATCTACGTCTCTGTTCAACCTGGATGTTTTCTTTCCACCTAATATGTCAAAGGATCTGTAGGTTTTTAGAACTTTGGAATATTAGTTCTGGAAAATTTGATAAACCCTTGGAGGTGGTTTCAAGCTACTTTCTCATGAGAAGACTTCCACGAGTATATTGTTGTTGTTTGTTAATGTACTGCTCACTTTTATGACTCATTTCTTGGTCATAGTTTCAAATTTGTAATATCTATGTTGATTAGTATGTTCCTGTCTAATAGTATCCTAGAATTGGGATGTTCTAGTATGAGGTTAATATTCGTTGTTAAGATGAATTGAAAATAATGTCAACTCAATCGATGTAGCTAGTTGGTTATGGATAGGTTGGAGTATTGCCACCATATTTTCCGAATCAGTCGACATCTGTTTAGGGTATGTCTTTCATTGATATAGCTTTAGAGCTGAGATTTATGGTTCTTCTCACTGCTGCTATATGGATTTGTTTACAGGGTCCGAGAGCCGAAGAAGATGAAGAGCTGTGCAGCTTAGTCAATATTCATCTGAACCGACCTTTAGCAGGTAGTTCATGAGTGTTTGACTGTAATAGAATTTGAAAAAATTTGGACAGTTTTTGTACTTCAATTGCAAGAGGAAATTGTGAATGATTTAGACACTTATTATTGGATGGAAGAAGTACTCCTAGTAGGTAAATGACTGAGCTCTCATTGAGGCATGACAAATTTTTATCAAAAGTTAATTTCAACTTAAATAGCTTATAATGTCTATGAAAGCCGCTGAAAGTCTTTGAAGAACCTGAAAACTGAATCTTGTCTGCCATTTTCGAAGTGTATACTAGATTCAATTATAAAATTTACTTCCTGTTTATGTGAAAGTAAAACTTTCATATAAATTGACACGTATATCAATAGCGGTTGCAACCTGACAGTGTTGGGAGTTGTGTAACTGATACATGGTGCTGTTTATTCAAGAGATGGGAGGTGATGAAGAGCCGGAATCACCTTTGCAACCTGTTTCGGAAACTTCAGAAGGAGGAGACACAGCGGAGGTTTCATTAAGGTGCACAATTTCGTTTCACCATGTACTTGTTTGCTGTCATTTGTTTGTTGGTCTTCTACCTTCGAACTTTCCTTTCATGCGCAGGTATAGTTTCTAGTACTTCAAGTTTCCTCCTGAAGTTAAAGTGCAATTTTTAACATCAGTCGCATTTGTTATCAAGGTCATGGAGATTGGAATCACAAAGTTTACTTCCTTATAAGATAGTCCTGATATTCAATAGAAAAGGCAGTACAATATATGTGGACTGGGTTTGGCAAAGTCCGCATTCTATCCGAAACAAAATTGTAAATTTACACGCATAGAACATCATCGGGTAGGCCGGACTATATTTAAAACCAGGCAGATTTCATTTATTGCTTTTTGCCCTATTTTAATCCTACACACCATAAAGGTTAGCCCGTCTGAGCATACGCTCATACGGTGCGCAGGATAACACAGTTCCGAGATTCCTTTTATCCTTTAGGATTGGACCGTAAGGCTCTCGCACTACGCCATCCGCACAAAAGAAATGGCAAGGTTATTATTCCAATAAATACGACTGCAACTAGTTTTATTGAGATTGGCTTGAGGAGCAGTTTAAGTTGGTGCCCCTCAGTCTCGCCAATATTATGGACGCTAGTAAGTTAAGTAAGTATCAACTCACCAAGTTTAAAATAAAATAAAATCATATGTTCATTCAAGTCAAACAGGAAGAATTATTTAGAGTAATATCAAGCTCAGTTGTCGTGTAGATTCTGAAAATGCCTCTCTCTGGAAGTAGTCTGCCCAAATTAAGATCGTTTGTCATGAATGTGACCAGTCCAAGTTTGGTTGTCAGGTCTTTAGATGTCCATGTCAGATTTTTGGGAAAGATTTTCACACTTCAGAGAAGCCTTGGCAGAACAAGGGCAAGACTTGAGCTTGAATACTTAAGTTTCTTAGCACATGCCAATAAAATTTGGAATGTGATCAGATGAGTTCTTCAAATTGGACTAATCATCATCTTGTTTCTTAGAGATGTGAATTTAGTCAGTTCTATCGGAGAACCTTCACCGTCATCAACAGGAGCTGTACAATTGAGTGAGCTGCAAAGAATACTTCAAGGGCTTGGTCAGGTTGCAGTTCCACAAGGTTAGTACTTTCAGTATCAGATTTGTTATTCAAAAGATTCCAAGTGTGCTCAATTTTCTACATCTATTGTCAAAATTCCATGAAAATTACATTCTGGATATACTACTGTAACTGCTAAGTCTTTCCTATATTGCTCTTTATCGACTTGCTTACTTGCCTACTATGTATTGTTGATTAATGCCGCATTTGTGTTGTTGTTTTGTAGAAACTTATATTCTCTATGTTGTTATTTTTAGGACTGACATTTTCTTTATTGATTTTCTTGATGTGAATTACCTTTTAATTGTGTCCGTGTATTTGTCGTCATATCTAACCTCTGCATATCGTTGTGTAATGCCACTCCGCCTCATGTTTCTAATGTGCATTCCTTTTGTGTGCAGATGCCATGGAAACTATGCACAGAGATACAGGTCAGTCGTTGTTACACAAAAGGCATATGAGCATATTTGTAATGCTTGGGGAGATTGACGGTCTCAGCATCAGGATTGCTCGATTGTATCTGCCATTTTTGCCTGCTATCTGCGATTCTCAGGCTTCGCCGAAGCTAACATAGTTGTCTGTTTCCGGCTTACAGGTCCAAGTTTCTCTGACATCCTGAAGCCGGATGTTGTCATACCGTTGTTGGATCGTTCTCATTTTGAAGACCGCCTTGCTCCTTACCTTCCTGAGGTTTGGTTTTTTCCACCCGAGGTCCAAAGAGTCGTGCAACCGAACATTGAAATTATCTGTCTATAGACTGTCTACTTCTTTTGATGTTGATTTCGTGTGGTCTTTGATTATTGTTTGTCTGGCTCTCATGAACATGTACAGGGTGTAAAGACGCCGGAGGCAATAGCAGAACTCATGCAAAGTCCTCAATTTCAGCAACAGCTCGACATGTTCACTCATGTAAGTGAAATCTGATGTTTTTGTGTGACGAACAAGATTTGTGTGACAGTAGTGTTTGTAAATGGTAAATGGTAAATAGATCAAGCCCGTGGACCCAAAGGGTCAAAAGGCTGAAAAACTCAATACAAACAATCCAACTCCAACCTAGGAGAGAACCACACATGCTTCTGTCACTTTTGTCACTATGCTTTTCCACATCCTAATTACAGCGATGTTAATTTCCGTTTTGTGGTGCTCTGCAGGTATTGAGAAGTGGTCAGCTGGACTGGGCACAATTCGGAATCGATCCTAGCAATTGTAAGTACTTTGAATATGTTTGTTTTTAAATAATAGAGTTTTTGATTTTTAAGGGGGACTTACATTGGCAAAGAATTAGTCCGCTTTTCAGATAACTGTATCGACCTGAGTGAACATCCAACTAAATGCCCATGCAACTTTCTTGTATAAATTGTTGTGACGTAAGGCCCATGATTAGATTGTTTTATAGAGCTTTCATAAGGAAAGATTTGATAGACCAAAGGTCATGTCCCTGAGGGTAGCTTGGATGTAAATTGTTTCTCGTGGTTAATCACGTGGCACTTGGTAGATGTACCTGCGGTTATCTTCAGTGGTCTCTAAACGTTCTATTTATGGCTAGGAAAATGCTTTGGAACAATGTAAAGTAGAAACCGATAGATCGGATTCCATCTCATTGACTCAATCTGTGAAACAAACGAATAGGCTTAATCCAACGAGATCCCCGCTAGGTTTCAGACATGGAGTAGCTGGAGGTTACTGTGTTTCTCTGACGTGTACATGTTCAGTTTGTAAGCTATAAGACTAATACAAGCATCATGGAAACTAAGTCTGTAACACCTCCTGGCTGAAACACAAGTTATTCTTACTCAGAATATTCTATTTTTGCAGATAATTTCACAGTGTCTTCATTTCTGGAGGCGTTTCAAGATCAGTTTATAAGTATGCCCGATTCAGCTCAGGACGAGAACATGCCCGAGAGCGAGAGACCTAGAGAGGTCCAAAAGCGTGATCAAAAGAGAGGGAGGGACAATGACGTGATGGAAGAGGGGTTGTAATTTTGCTTGTACACGTATTGTAGAATCTCTCTCATCCAAGGTCATTGAATGGATTCATTCTTCGAGTACTAGTTGACCGGAAGTTTTCTGGTCCGGGAGTTGTTCTTACACTACTAGAACTTACACCCACATGGCGGCTCAAAATCTTTGTGGGAAGTCATTGATTATGCATGAGTTTTCCATTTTATGGCAAGCTGGCTAACCTTTGATATATCCTCTGGTGCTGCTTTGTGAGAAGCACAATGTGGCTGTACCTGAGCGAACTATGAGGGTCTTGAGCTGTCGATCATAGCCTCTGGCATGATCCTTTAGGACCATTTCTCTACTATGGCCATCAATTAGATGGACGGATAGTACCAGCGATCCATCTACTTACAATGATGTAATTCATCTTCGATCTGTGTCCGCTCTCGATTCTCGTTGTTGTTTGCACACATTTTCTTCTTCGTCCTGGTTCGTTACATGTTGTCAGAGCACAGTGGACTAGGGTTCAAGTTTTCAGCACGGTATGAATGTCCACCCTCAACACCGTATAAAGCGGAGTAACTAACCATAGAGAGTAGGACTCGGGAGCTGTTAATGCAGCAGAGTAAAGTGAAGCGGTTACTTGTCCGAGTTGGGGATCGAAGAAAATGCGACGTTTTGCCAGTTTGAGAGGAGAGTGAGTGCATGTGCTTAAGGCGAGTATCGTCACATTACTGCAATTTTCCTCGTAATTCAAGAGACTCTATCGCAAACTTTGAAGCTTTGATTTGACTCTTTCGGGTTCCTAGGAACTCTCGTACCGCCCTCCCCTTCCCTTCCGTCCCACGAAGTCAATCGACAGAGAAAGCGCATGTCGCCCCTCGCCTCCACAGAGCAGGCAGTGTCGCCGACCGGATGCGCAGTCAACGCATTCGGAGTTGGCACTAAGAGATTCCCACCGTGTATTGAACGAGGTCTACTCCAAAAAGGCGAGAACTGCGGACAATCGCCAGCCCCTGCATCATCCCGGAACCAGGCCATGCGAAACAGCAGAGCAAGAGGCTAAGCTAAGCAAGGAAAAGTGAGCAAGGAAGTGATTAGGAACGCAGGGGCGCAAGCATGGTCAAGATGTAGGTCATGGAGATAGGATGGAGCGCATCTACCCCCTCTCCCACATCTACTTACTTGGCATCCCAATCTCGCCGTCACCCAGGGAGTCGGAAGCAGGGCAGAGCAGAGGATATGAAGAATGACGGAAAGACGGAGAGATTGGAAGGAGGGAGAGAGAGAGAGAGGGAGAGAGATAGATAGAGAGGGAGCTGGTGCGCACAATCGAGACAAGTGAGTGGCGTCAGAGACCTTACCCACCCGGGGAGACGAGGCCGTAGAGGGGGCCATGTGTGCTGTATTCATGGACACGCTTCGAGGCCAGATACCGTCTGGATAAGTGGGCCGGCTGTACCTTACTGGTTCGTATTCTGACCATGGGGGTCCGGACATTCAGTGTGACGGCGGCGCCCAGGTGCTGTCTTCCTGTCTAGCTCCAAATCCTGCACCGTAGCTAGTTCGAAGGTCCGGCCATCCCATCCCTGATCCATCCGATCAATTATTCATTCATGTCTTCTGCAACACCAACACCACTCTACCTTCTCTCCCTGCGACGCACGGCCGCAGATAGAACCTGGCAGCTTTTCCAGCATGCAGCCCGAGCTAGCTCTCTCTCGCTCTTGCTCTCTCTCTCTCTCTCTGTGTGTGCTAGCACTTGTTAGATTAGATTACGAGATGACGGTGTCCTGTGCCGATATGGTGTGCGAAAGCATCAGCTGCTGGATTTCGTAATACGCAAGACCGTAGGTTATGTCGACCACGGACTTTGTTCCTGGCTTGGGCTCCGAGAACGCCACCCGCCATTCCTTGGCTTACAAGGTCCTCCGACTGAGCCAGTTCGTGACTCCGGTGTGACTTCTTTCTTCCTTCATTCCTTCCTTCTTTCAGGGGTTTGATTGTCAAGTCAGCCTCTGATCAAATCCTTAGCGCTTCTCGCAATCTGTGGTCGGAAGACGCGTCATTTCGGTATGAAGGGCAGAAGAATCGGGAACTCTCCGGGGACCCAGTCCACGAGAGGAGAAGCTGGAAAGTGGCAAGCCCCAGCTTTAGGTTTGCCTGTGGAGTTCTCGTCACAGCAGACGCTGCAGCTTGGAAGCCAAGAAAAAGGGAGGCGTTAAAAGAAGAAAGAATACATTTGAAGGAAGGGAAGGGGAAGGGGAAGAGAGAGAAGAAGAGGGTTAGGGGTCCATCACAATTTCGCCTCGTCACAAGCTTTGCTGCAGTTGTTAGAGCCTTGCTTGCATGAGAAAGTGCGACGCTTTTGGGTCTTTTGCTTCTCCTTTTTTGAGCTGTTCTTCGAAGCTGTGGAGTGCAATCTTTTCATGAGAGAGTGCTCGTGCGCTCACTTCTGCTCTTGTTCCCTTTCTCTCATATCCTCTTCTTTCTTGTCGGTTTGCTCACAAAATATTCGTGCGCATCGCATGTCTCGCTCGCTCCATCGCTGGCTCGCCGGAATTTTAATAAGCCGGGACCTTTTCTTTACTCCTCCGAAGGGTGGGGTTCTTTCAGTGGGGGCGGTTGTGCCTCCCCTCGCGAAAGAAAGCTTTCTTCCATCTTTTCTTGTCATTCTTCTATTCAGTCCATGGAGAAATGATTGTGTTCACCTCTCATGATTCACGTAGTGCTCTTCTTCTTTGAAGATTCACCACAGACGTGAGATAGATTCCTAAAGTGAAAAATGGGTGCTCCTAACTCCCAGAGCATTAGATTTGTAGCTGGGATGAGTTGATTCCGTGGTTCCTCGCTACGGTGGGCACAGACTCGATGGAGTAGGCCAGCCCAAAGTGGCAAGCGACGGAGAGGGAGAGGGAAAGGAAGGAGAGGTAAGGTGGAAATCATGAACCGGAGGCACATGTGGGGGGATCGGTACCTACTCGTTCCATGACTTGCTCCCATCAAACGAGTCCCAAAGCTTTGCGGCTTGCGATTCTCATGGCGGACGAGAGATGAAGGCACGTACGGGGCATTATTGAGCCCGGGTTAGCAACTACTTCTCTGCTTTGGTTTGGCAAAGGGGTAAATATCGAGTCCCTTGCCAATCAATCTACCTACCTTACGGACTATTATAAGTCCGTCAATTCACTCATTCACCATGCCTCTGGAGTGGAAGAAAGAGATAAACCCCGTAGGTCATACATAGTCCCTTGTCACGGAAGTCAAGGGGGTACAACTTTAGCCTGGACGAGGAAAGAAGAAGGTTGTACTCCATCTTTTTCGTGGTGAAGCTACTGTGCACTCTACGTATTTTATTTGCATGATCAGCCCAGCAGTAGTTGCAGGATCCTCGCGTGTTTAATGTACTCCGGCCCGGTTTTCACAAGAGCCAAAACTGCAAGTATGGGAGGGAAAAGGCCAAGGGTCACTCTGAGCTCCGGAGAGAACTCGGCTCAACTGAGCTTTGCACCTGAGGTCTGGTACTACCACCCGAGGTCTCTCAAAGAGCCAGTTACATAGAACCAAGGCAGTGCTGGGAGAGAAATTCCCGGAGAAGAATATTTTGCCTATCACGCCCAGCTCAGCGCAAAAGTTGGTGACTCCAGTGCCACACAAGAATGCATCGGTCCGTTGTTGATTATTGGTACCAATGGGCTTGCACTCAATGATGGAAGGGAGATGAGCTATCGATGAATCTGAAGAGCCTGTGATCTTCTGCGTCCCTTGGGTTTGGGCTGCTCACCTTTTTCCCAAGCTCCCCTCTGCTCATGCTGCACCAACGGTGGGTGTGGACGGTACTGTACCAGTGATGCGTACGGGCAACACAACATAACACAATGCTGGGCTCTGTGTGGGGCTATTCATGTGAGAGTCAAGTCCAAAAGCTCAGTGGACTGGAAGACGAGAGGATAAACGATACGATGTGTGTGTGAAGTACATTCTACAGTTATCATGATAGTAATATACTAGGAGAGGCAAGTGCTGTTTGCCCCTACCCCCAAACCAGTTCTGGAATTCCTATATTATTGTATTCAACCAGAGCAGCGCGAGGGAGGGAGTCAGTAGCTCCGTGAGCGAGGCAGCAGGACACGTACGGGTGTCGACGGTCTTATACTCGTCGTCCCTCAATTAAGGCTAGATGATGAGTGGCATTCAACTCTGACTAGAATCAACTCACTCATTAGTCGGAGAATTTAGGTGGTGTCTGTCCATCATTCTTTGCCTCCAGTGACCCTGCTGCGCTAGCCTTGCCGGGCAGCTCGGCAGCTTCGGCTCGGTTGGGCTGGGAAGAGCAGAGGGTTAGATAAACTCAGCTCAGTTCATTTCAGTTCAGCTGAGCTGAAATAGATCACTGTAGTTTTGTACATGGACACTCTCAGCGGCTTCACTCCACTTCACTCCACAGTCCAGAGTCCAGACTCCGCCAGTATTAAATGCGCCAATGGATACCATGTTTCTGGTTGGCTTTTTGTTTGACTCGGTGTCTGCTGTCTTCTTGCACCCAAGGACCTATGCTGTCCGTGTGCTGCTTGATTCCTTCCTCTCGATTTGACATGGCCACATGGGCGTGCCTCGCTCGTTCCGTGCTTACTTTAGACAGTTTTAGTGGTGCTTTGGTCCTTGCTAGCTTCCATGGTGCCTTCCTCTGTTCCTTCCATCCGAGCTTGGACCGGTGTGGATTCTTGCTACAACTTTTCTTATCTTTTCCATCTTTCCTTCTCCCATGACACCACGGAGGAAGTCAGTGCTGGCACTGTTGGTCTGACACTTCACACGGTTGACAAATTCGTGACTTGGACCTCATGTTCAGGATCCAGGCTCCGCGGACGGGGGTGGAGGCGAGGCGGTGTCTGCAGTGACATCGTTCCGGGGAGAAACAACAGAAAGTACTCTACGATGTCTACTCTGGTCCGAGAGCAGCGAGGAGCAGCCATAGACCTCCGGAGTCACCGAACCACCACCAGCACAGCAGCGCCATCTCCAATGCAGCAGGAGCAGCAGCAGTAGAAGACTTCCTTTCTTGACTACTGCTGCTGTTCTCACACAACAGTGCCACACACTCTCGCACACACCGCCCTCACGCTCGCTCACTCACTGACTCTCACTCAACTCAGCTCAACTCAGCTCACACTCTCAGTCAGCACCTCAACTCACTCACTGACTCACTCACTCACTGCATGTCCGTCCTCTTGGAAGCTCATCAGTGGCTGGCCACCAGACACAAAGTTAAGCCATCTCCGGGGATACCCAATCTTGGAGCTCCATGGCATCGCATTTAGATCATGGCGGGGTGAGTTGTGTGAGTGTGACCACTCTTGACAAAGTGCGGGTGGGACCCAAACATGGGATGCAGTTGAATTGCTCAAACTACCACTGCCACTCCCACACCGACGTGTCGTGTGTTCGCCTCTCCCCTAGCATGAAATTTTTGCTCCCTCCATTGCCCTCACAATCAATCAGTCGCGGATGATAAACATCCTCCTTGACCAATCACAATCAAGTTTTCCATTCTTTCTCTTTTCCACATGCCTCATTTAATGATTCGAAACCTTCGTTC